CTCATAAGAGGAAACTCTTTCATGAGCTGCGAAAAAAAAAAAAAATTAAAGCAGACGATCACATATATGCAAGTTGATCTGGAATGGATTAACCTAAAAGATCTAAGATAAACTACCACATGCCTGATGGTTCTTGCCCCAGAAAACCGAGATCTCTAGCACCTTAAGCAGGGCTGTGATCTAGCAGCGCCCAGTGGCCCCTGACGCCTTACTTTTGCTCTTGGGCGACTCAAGAATCTTAGTTTTTTCATAAAAAGCATATGCTAAGCACTCTGGATTTCACAGCTTCAAAGCACTGGGCTCCCTTCAATTTTTCCTAGATCACAGCCTTGCCTTAAGGTAGTAAAGTCTGTACTCCAGCCAAGTGGCACATCCACCCAGAGCTTGTCTCGTTTTCCAGAGCACAAAGAAACAAGGAGTGTTGCTACAGGAGTATTACTACAGTCCATTGGAAGGTTACCCCCCCCCCTTGCATTTCATCAGGCTTCCCTGACAATTTGCCTGTATACTGATATGCTTTCATTTTACTCTATAACACGATTCCACAAACCGTTATCACACACCAGCCATGTCAAGTTTTTGAGATTAAAAAGTTTAGTTTGTAGCACCAAAAACAAGTTCATACAGGCAAAAGCAAAGCTTTGTACCTCATGGACTCCCACATGATAGATGTTTATTGGTAGATTTACTGACAAGTAATGAAATTGTGAATTTGTAATTAATAAAATGAAACATACATCTCGCATCATTTTAATAGCTTCTTTTACTCTGCCAAGCTTCCTTGCACACATGGCTAGCCTTCGTCTTATATAAACACAAACATTGGTGTCTCTTCCTAAAAACATGACCAAAAAAAAAAAAAAAAAAAAAAAGATTAGCAGGCTTAATCTTTGCTATACCGGTACTTGTAATACTCCAAAGTTTAAAGAGAAAGACTTATTTATATTGCCTAATGATAATAATCAATAATTGCAATTTACCATTAACAGGGTTTGTACACTTTTTCAGGCCAAAGATTCATGGACTTTTCAAGGACTTTCCAGGACCCTACTTAGAAATTCAAGGATGTTTTGTAATGACAATTTTACCTCAAAACCAAGAAAAATGTTTCTGTTAACATCTATGTTTTGGGTTTACCGATGGTGCAAAACAAAAGCAGATATTTTTCGATGTTCTTCAATAAAAACTCAAGGACTTTCAAGGACCCAAAACGAAATTCAAGTACTTTCAAGGCCTTGAAATCGGCCTCCTGAAATG